AAGGCGATCAGTTGGATGAAATCTGCCTGCGTGATGCCAAAGTTAATAAAAGTAAAATAGTAATATTAATAATAATGAAAATAGATACGCAAAAAAAAAAAAAAGCAAAAACTAAAAACATACTACTCGTTTTTCCAATGTGTAGGCAAATGATAGAGAATCGAACGTTTTCGTCAGCGTCTTGTATTTCGTTATTTATTTATCATACGTAGAAACAAGGTCAGTGACTCCCCTATTTCATAAAATGTTTATCTCTCCTTACAATAATGTACCAGGTTTCAGCGGAAATTCATACAAGCTTATCTTAATTCAACATTTCATTTCACGCACAGAAATGTTCTGCGCCCTCTCGGAAAAAAAAGTTAATCACCTTTGCTTGTCTCAGAGCTTCACTGTAACCGTCAATCTTCCAAATAAGAGTTGTTGTGTGCAATAATTCCATGGCTTCCTTTAGCTTCGATTCTGTGTTGTTCAGCTTGACTTCTCTATACCCATACTTCACTTCTGTTTCACGCAACTTGACGCTAACTAAGTCAAGATGGACTCTTGTGGCAGATTCTAGATGAGATTCCGCTGCTTGTCGTTGAATCTACAAGAATAGAAGAATCTCTTATTACATAGCCTCTTCAATACAATACTCGGATTTCTTGTCATCAAATGTTAGTTCCAGGGAGTCATTAAATGATTTTGGTCAAATACTGAGAGAATTTATTGGTTTTTATTCTCAAACAGATGAAAGTGGATAGTGGGACTGTGAACATTTGAAATATGGATTTCTACATGAAGTTTTGAAAACCGGGAGAACAAGAATTTCTATTTTTCGCATTAATTTCAAGTGGTTCCGTTCTCGAAGTCTTTGAAGCCCAAAATCACGGAAATTTTCCATTGGCAGCCTTTATGCAGCAACCTTCAACAAGACACGTAAAAAAAGAAAAAAAAAGTCAGGAATTAGAGGGAATTTCTCTGTTTGGCGTATATTTATTGTTACTTTGGGAACATATCCTTGATGCAATATAGCTCAGAGTGACTAGAATGCGGTTGCATGCATAGATGTATGGACTGCTGGATTCATATACTTCCTGGTTATTTCATCTATCTTGGAAACAGCCATGTAACACTTTACTCTTAACATCTACGACTTTGTTTTTTTTCACCTTCGTTTGACAGCCCATACGCGCATATGGACAGGAAATTATACTCGGCGGACATTCGTCTTCACTGTTGAAACCTGAATCACGTAAAACAAATGAATAAATTCACGAACAAAAGGGATAGAAATATTCGTTGAACATCGTCTACTTTTTGCAAAGTTAAACGAATATTCGTTTGTACCTTTGGTTATCGGTTACGCGTATCTCCTGACTGATAAACAAAGGGTAGGGCTGCGTAGTTTTAAAAGTAATCCGCAGTTGAAGATAAGTTTGGTCATTTTAAAGTAGAGTACGGGTATGGATAAAATACAGAAAAACAGAATTGCCAGAAAAAGGATTGGCCACTTTACAGTGCTGGAATTAACTTGATTTAATTTTCAAAGCAAATCGGACAAATCTAAATATTGGCTTATAGCACTTTTACCAAATTTGTGGCATACAGTGTTCAAATTTATTTTGAAGATGCTGATAAATTGATAAACAACATATAAATCTTACTTTCTTTGAATTGGTTTCTTTTGAAGCTGAAAGAAAATTTATCCATCGGGTTACGAGCTATTGATTACTTCTTAGACTGTATTCAGATTTTCCACGAGGAAAATTTTGAGAATGGGTCGCTTAGTGATACGCTAGTTCGTGGTTGTTTAAGCAATTTTTTCTGAGGTGAAAAATTTTTATCAATTACTCGTTGAGGAGGTATTGATAGCGGCGGAGCGGACAGCATTAATCATTTTAATGATTGAAAATTGATTTGGCAAAATATTTCATGAGGCGGATGTCTATCGCTGTTTCATCAACCCTTCTGATGTATTCCTCAAGGCAATCTTTAAAAACTCTGTGGCCACATCTCGTTTGAATTGGCTCTTTAAGGGGCAAATGACATATCAAACACTACAAATCTTGATCAACGGCTTCCACAAAGTCCTCGTCATAGCCTTCTGGGCGGTGTTCATCGGTTGTAGATTCCGCCATGATCAAAACCTTCGGTATACAAATCAGACAACGAGCCCTTCAAAATGCACGTTGATTTGACCTTTGATACAAATTGTTCATGCAACGAATCATATATGATCTCCTGACCGCTGAATTCACGAAAAATCTGCTTTTGTCTCGCAATCGTTGTAACGTGCTCCTCTTAACCAACATGAGAACACAGAACACCTTTTCAGTCAGCAAATCGGCATGTTTCTATTTATCAGTTCCTGGTGTCAGGTTTGCCCATACCTGAGCTGAGCAGAATATTATCTGTTTTAACTTTTTTGGAAAAAGTTAGCATAGCTCAGTGAGAAGACAGCTCACAAAGGAGGACATAAGTGTCTATGCTTTTATCGATTGGTCGATGTGGACTAAAAAGGATTTTCTAATGCTTCCCATTAATCTAAACGTTTAATTAGGCGGCATTAAAATATCTCGTGGTTTAATATTTTTCCTCGCAGTGTCATGAACTCTTTTTATTCGTGATATTTGAAAGGTGTTAGCGGTGGATCGGAGGCGGGAGTAACCGAACCGAAAGCTGGACGCGTTGAAATTGCAATGTTGATTTCCGCTAATCAGAAGTTTGCTACTCAGGTCGTTATGAGCGCTACTTAAGCAGTAGTGAAATTAAAGCCTTAAAAAGTTAGGCTGGTATCGGATTTGAACCTATGACCTCTGCGATACCGGTGTTCCTGTGTTCAGTCAGTCTTGTACCAGTACAGGCTAACCTTTTCACAAAACTGACTGGTGAACGGTACGAAAGAAAGGCAAAATGTCGAAAATCAAATCGGCATCTGAGCCTTCGGAGGCATTTACAGTACTGCTGCGTGCGAACTGAGCGGGAAAAATCTGCACTCCGAATGACTTTGACTACTGACAATTTATTTTTGGGTGTTTTTCGATAAAGCTACAGAGAGGAAAATTCTTCCCTTACAAGTAGATGTAGAAATAAAGGGGTAAAAGTTTTGATCGATTCATCTCCATATGACAAAACGAATTTGTTCAAGCAACGCACTTCCCTCAAGTTTGCTTTTTTTTTCAACAGATCCATTTTATCTAATGTCTTTTCAAAGTCATCACCTACACCACCGAAAATTGTCGCATGAAAGTACAGAGAAGAGAGCTCAACCAGCACGTGACCGTTACGTGCCAGTGGAGAATTCTTAAATGCGACTACTGTTGTGAGCCGCACCTAGAGTGTCGCATGCAGGTAGGTGTTACCTAACTGGGAGACAAGGTTCCCATAGTTAGTATCCAAATGAAGTAATATGCATTGTTTTATCCGTTTTTTATTAAAATGTTTTAATATTTGTCCATTTTTATGAGATACCTATTCAGGAACACATCGAAAAGCGCAGCAAGTTTCCAGTAACTTGTCCCAACAACTGCGGTCGTTCAGTTCTCAGAGAAATGGTAAGGACACGATTTAATCTAAAAGCAATTTGGATTTATTTGAATACGGCGCTAATAGCAGGTTTTTAAAATCAAAATTAGATCATAGGGAGAACACATGTTATATATCAAATGAATGATAACGCGACCGCTTTTAGATTGGTACATTTTGAAATTAGTCAGAACTTGTGCACTCATCATTCCAGAATAGTTGGTACCCAGGAGTAAACCAAAATGTCGTCACGTCACGTCACGCAATCTTTGAAAAAAACTGAAACTTTGGTCGTTAAAAAGGTACTCGAGGCAAATCTTATTTTGCCTTTTTAGGACCTAAAACGAATTTCGCTTTTTAAAAAATCAGCTTTGGAGCTCTGCTTGTGAGATCTGTCGAATATAAATTTTGCCTGTCAGTCAACCTTTATTGAAATTGTTTGAAAGTGAGTTGAAAATGCAAGCAAATAGTGATGAACGGCCGAGCTTTTTAACGCCATATTACTGATGCCGGAATTTATATTTAGAGGATAGAATAGACCTTGACCTTTTGGATGATAAGGAATGAAATTTACAATCCATATACGGACTTATCCCTCAGTTTTCCGTTAAATCACAGGTTCCAAATCATATCGTAGACGATTGTCATCTGTCAGTAATCCCTTGCCCTTATTGTGAGATGGGATGCGAAATGCAGGTATGTAGACACATACGTACAGGCCAATGTCTTTTAAAAGTTTTGATATTTTAATAATGTAGGATTGCAACCGTTTTGCAATTAAGTGTTTGTTTTATTAGCTTATATATTATTCACTGAGGAAGGAAGAGCCAGCATTTTATTTCCATGGTTAGGGATGAAACATCTATAGCAATTTTTATCATTTGTTTTTGTTGTAGGTTCGGTGACGAGAAGTAGACTCGCATCTTCATTCTTCCGTGAAAAGTTACGTGACAGCAGATAAGTTAAAAGAAACGAATGTCAAACTCAATAGCGCGAAGGAGATTACAAATATCCTGATGAAAAACCTTAACTTCCTTCAGAGACGCTATAAAGAATCATCACCTTTCACTGTAATTTGATTGCAATACCATTTGTTTGTTAAGAGGATCCACAGTATACGGTCCTCATAGCCTATATTCATCGGTGCTGTAAAGCATGACTGTAAGTTTCTTATCGTAAAAAAGGTTGTGGTTTGTCATCGTTGTTAATTACACTTTCATCAAAAGAGAAATGTAATCGTTTGTCTCACGATGTGGTCACTTCGGATGTGGATCGCCACGTTTTCACCGCATACTGCTTATCTTCTTTAGGCGATGGGGTTTGAATTGAGTACGCGTAACCTTTATGCTGCAGCTGTTGTGCATTGTGTTGCTGGAAAATTCAGTTAGGACGAAGATTGTGTCATGCAGATAACTTTATTAGATATGCAGATAGTGAAAATCTCATGACATAATTCTACATTATCGAGTTTTCCCTCGAAATCGGTGCTGTTGTCAAGTTTTACTTTCAAATGTATCGGCGAACGACTTGAGTCTTACCTAACAATTACTTTTGCCAAAGCAAATGTGCAAGCAACATTGCTGCCTAACGAGACAATCGAAAAAAGACTCAAATAAAATTGAAAAGTCATTGATGTATACAACGAAAAAAAAAACATCTTTTAAGATTTTTGAAAAAGCCTTTTTTATTAATAACTAAATCTCTCTGAATCTAATCTTAACATTTAAATAAACTGTCCGCGTTTTTCTTTGCTTTCAATGAACCAAAATGTAACCAATGGCTTTAATGTGTTTATCTCCATTATCCGGTGTCTGCGAAGCCTCGTTTCCACATGTGTTAGAGTCATCATATTGCCCTCCTGTACCAAACCCAATCCTGGAGTCGCAAGAGCGGCAATGATTCTGGTTGTTAGTAGCGATGCCGATTCTTGCTTTGGAAAAAACAGACCTATCACAGATAACATTGAACCCTTCTGTGTTACAGTTATGCTGCAACGAGGCCTCAGAGCCAATAAGCTTCTTCCACGTGTCACGACCCAATGAGGTACTTCGGTATTTCCCCTCAGCGATCAATGAGTAAAGAGAGCTGGCCTTCATGTTGATTACAATGAACCTGATCTGTTCACCGATCTTCATACCGAGACATATCTTTGAGAAGGATGTGTTCCAATAAGTAGGTAACTTGGTCTCTTGTGAGTCGAATCCAGTCTCCCCTCCAGCGGTGTTGTATTCAGTTTTATTACTCCAGTAACCAGAATCATAATGGAAGGTATTCTGGGAGAATAGTTTATTATATGATATGAATTCATAACTGGTTTACCACCGTATTATCCTGCTCGTTTTAGGACAGTTTGAGACAATTATAATATTTCTATTCCCAAGTTAGCTTTTTGTTCCGCACCAGAATCTACTTTAAAATTGCTTTCAGTTAGCAAGAAGAGGCAATGAATATAAGCTGGTGATCATCAAATATGTATGACTTGGTGAAGTAACGTGTAACATTATTTCGTTATCAATAGTCATACAGTGTCAATCGGAGCCAATTTAGGGAGCAGTCATTTTTCATCACCAGGGAGGGACTAGAGGAGTTTTATCGTGTCACTATGATATATTTGATTCCCCTCTCATTGGCGGTCAAATTTATGTGGTTCCCCCTTTATTCTGTGTTAGTGACAATTGATCCCCGCTCGTTCCCCTCGAAAACTATGTGATTCCCAAAAATCCTACGACCCACCCATCTCTCCTCCCCCCCCCCCCCAACCAATTTGAAAAATAGTGTCTGTCCACTTAGTCAAGGAGATGTCAGCCGGAGACACGAACAGAGAGCGAAAGTCGCCCTGGTTGTCAATAAGTCAGTCAGCACCTGTGAAAAAAAATATCTCTCAAGTGGTCGATCATGACACGCAGTAGAAAATCAATTCTGCATCATACCTTGTTGCCGTTAATCTTCATTACTGGCGTCCATCCTCCATATCCGCATCCAAATTCTCCCATGTGACAAAGAACTGTCGTTGGCTGTGAGCCCAGATGAAGGGAAACCAATTTACTCGTATTTGATCTGTTAAAGCGGAGTTTGAGAAGGTAAGGAAGTCATTACCCCTCTTCATTGAACAAATTTATAACTTTAATAATTTCGAGGTAAACTCTATGAAATATTATTAACGGGTCCCAAGTAAGTCCAACCGCCTAGTCACATCTGTGTCTCCAGCGTCATAGGTGAGGAAATTATGGGATAATTCGGTTTGAAAGGGGAAGCAGTCATTGCCACTTACTTGGATGCATTATATGCCTCCTTGCATGATTTTACAGCTAGAAGATAAAAAGATGACCTTAGAAATACATTACATCGTTAGGAACGGAAAGGAAGTGAAAAGTGTGGTTATGTGATAGCAGCCTCGAAATAAATGTGTTCGCTTAATGGAGAGGCTCTTGTAAAAGTGGCAAGAATTTATTTGGAAAATTGTGCTCCTCTTAGAAGTATCCTCGATGCGCGATAACATGTCACGTCGGAGGAAATCGCAAACTATCGAATCTGGATTCGATCTCGTTTAGAGTCTGAGTTCTGTTTTCCAATTTGGAATTCCTACACTAGCATCTGATTGATATTTGAAGTGAGCTTAGTTGCATTAGTTGTGTATATAATCATTCTGTAGGACTGGGGATTGTCATATGCACCCGTGGACTCCTCCCCTGAGCAATACCTCTGTACGTTGGAGGTGTGGGCTTATTCTGAATAAAAATATGAAATGGTGTTGCAAAATTCAAGACCAGAAAAAGAAAAGGAAAACGTTGTCAATATCAATGGAATCATAGTAAATTAAGAAAGGGTACAAACCTTTCTCGCAATATTCTCCAACAAATCCATTTTTACATACACATTCAAACGAGTAACCTATGTGGCTTGTCACACAGCTACCGCCGTTATGGCATGGAGAGGAAAAACATGGAGACTACCAAAAGAAGAAGGACAAAACTTTTACAAACCACACTTATTGATTGAATAGAGACGAGGCACTTCACCTTTACGGCCAGAAATGTTTCGTGTCGAAGAATTTAACTTCATAGAAATTGAACTACTCTGTATTACGATAGTCAGTGTTTTGCAAAAAGTCAAGTCAATTTAGATAACAAAACAAGCCCCACCATAATGGAAACGTGATGTGAAGTCCTATTTTCTCTGAATGCCTCAGGAAATCTATGCTTATGAGAAGACAGCAACTCACACCAAATCTTTGCATCGCGTTTCCTTGCCACCGCCAAGTTTACTGACCAGCATGAAGGATTCCTTAGGCATAAAAAGATGCATTCGTAGTCGTCGAATGCCAACAATGTTCCAATCTTAGGTGCAGTGAGATAAAAATATCCATCTATTGATAAAAGACTTTGTTTGAAAGTCTTGGATGAAACGGTGAACTTTTGCTCCAAAACCGGTAATCCTGCAAGGAAATAGCAATTGTAGACGTCTTTTCAAGTTTGGCAAAAATCTTACAGGGTCGCGCCGCTTTCGTAGCTGGCTCCAAAATAGTGTTGCAGACTCATTGTGTCATTCTTCAAATCCTAAACATTTTGAACTATACCATTGGTTATTTCCACGAGATGATATCTTATCTATCAGATGATATCTTATCTATTTATCTATCTATCCTATCCTGTCTATAACAGCACCGATGGCTGCTATCAGTGCGCTCTGAATCCTAAGACATATTTCAATTGCGGACGAATTAAAAGCGTGTGGTTAACTTGCGTATAGGCAAACGAAATCTTACCTCCTGGAGAAGACATCCCATAATTACATCCCAAAGGAAAAAACGGTACTTCGAATAACATGACGAAACAACGGCATATAAAACGATGAAACATTACGGTGCTCTCTGAATCTGATTTGGTATGACTCATCAGTTACCAGTCGCGTGGGTGGGAGAACCGTGCTGCTGCAGTAAACTTTTTTCTTCTGTCCATCTTTTTGTTTATCAATACAATTTATCGAGATCTTGTTTATCTTTTACACTAATTGAAAGGCCCATTTAATTTCTGCGGAACTCAGCAGAATATCAAAGTTTTTGGAATTTCAGAAAGCAGTGTGTTCGGTCATTATTATTGCCTGACGGAAAAACGCTTTTTATCGTCATTTACTAGGCGTGCGGCGTGTGCAGTTAAGACCTTTCTCCTTTTAACTGATATACTCGGCATCACGCCAGTAATGTAGCCTCAAAATTTAATTTTTTGCTGTGTTTGAATTAAACTTGTGAATGAAGTGCTCTAGACTGATCTGAAATAACACTTTCTTTCCGTCCTAAAATGCAATCCCGACCAAACGTTCAAGTCTTTTTGGCAAATTTCTGAGAGCAAAAATATTAGCGACAAGATCAAGAAATTGGAATTTGACTTTTTCCTCCATATCAGAGTTTGGAGTTTTGGAAAGAAAATGTTCTCCCGTTATCCTGTTTTCCTGAACCGGAGAAAAATCGCTTTGAATCGAAACTTTCCAGTTTTGGTGATAAAGAAATTGAAAGCAAGAGATTTTAATTTCTTGTTGAAAGACAGAACGACTTTTTTTTTGAAAGGTAGAAGCAATCAAATATCGAAATCGTTAACTTAATAGCCTTTTAAAATTTGATTTATTTCTCCGGTAATAACCGATTAGAGTGGCATCACCATGTAATTTAGACTTGAGACAAATGAGACACATTGTCAGCCTTGAGGAAAGCTGTCACTTTTTCATTGAATGATGCAGTCACAAAATCCCAATCAAGGAAGTCTTTAATAAAGATATCAAAAGATAACCGGAGATGAAAAAAAAATCGTCTGCGATCACTTCCTCACTGCTGATAGCTAACTTTCAATATATTTCATGAACGTCTCCTTTGAATAGGGAGCTTTCAGTTTCAAGAGCGAAAAAAGATTTAAAACGCTTATATTCATCACACCGCCTTCAATTTCCCTAATTTTGAAAGAAATTTTTATCGAGGCGAATTTGAACGCCCGTGCATAATACAGTGCGTGCCTCACATAAAATGCTTCAAGAAACGAAGCAAAAGGAAAAAAAAAAAAACAAAGAAAACATTTCAGATGAAATGGAATAAATCAATCAATCTATCAATCAATCAATCAATGCATGAATGAATAATTAAACACCAGTTTTTAGCACTGGCCAGTTCACGTAAGGGTTCTTTGCTCCGATTCCAAGTCGAATCAGAATTTAATAGGAGTGTTTGTTTTCAACACAAAACACACACAACCTGTCTCGTTATCGGACCCAGGCCAAGGCGTTTGTAAGTGTACCTCTCAAAACCATGCTGTCTCCGTTCCCCATTTGAAAGTAGAAATGATTAAGTGAAAGCATTCTAATGGTTCGATGTTCTGGATTTTACTGCCGGGCTAATCAAACAGAGAAAGAGAAAAAAGGCTCCATTATTCGAAACAGAGAGTTTAAAAGCTTAAAGCAAGTTACTGAGAGAAAAACCCGACTACCCCGACAACAAGGCAAAGGTAAGCAGCCGAACCAGTGAGGCATGACGCGAATAAAAAAAACGAAAAAGAGTCATCTTTTTGCTTGTATATTATTTATTAACTTTTTTTATGACTATGTCAATATTTTTCAATTGTTTACGCCTAGAGGCTAACTTTTTCGGCCCTTGAACGGCCATCGATTAACCCCATGGAGGCCCTCTATAAAACCAGTCAAGAAATTTGCGAAGGTCATATTTAAAAGATAAGTCTACTTTCAGACATGGTTTGATGCTACTCTGGTTTGCAGATTAATGAATGTAACCGAAGAAGTTACAATTCATAGACCCAATGTTTCGACACTCCTTCGACAGTGCCTTCATCAGGGTGATCTAAACGCTACAACAAGAGGTCCTTTTATATGATCACTAATTAGCGTTCTTTTTTCTGATGAGGTGTAAATAAGTCTACTTTTTTCGCCAAATAAGGACTTCACGAAACGAGCCCGAACTCAGTTAGACGGCTTGCTTATTTCAACCTGTAGAAACAAAGTGTCATCCACAATGTAACGTCTGGTAAAAAGTGCTTGATGAGATATGAAATTCACAATACCCCTCCCTCTGTTTTCGTCTGTGACAGGCCTTGCAAAGTTTGAGATATTTTGCTCGAAGAGCTCCGCAGTCTCGTTCCTCCGTTGGTCGAGATCTGCCTGTTGATCGATCAATGTAAACTTCACTTTCTTAGTGAAAGGCCAGGGTAGTATTGCGTCATATTCACCTTTCATTACAATAATGAACACCGATAGTTGGTTAGTTCGCTGGTCATTTGGGGAGAATTGAACTTTTAGCTTGTAGCCGTAACGTCCAGTTCCATTTTTCGTGTAGAACGGATCGCTATTTATAGTCTGATTCCGTCCTGCCATTGCTTGTCTAAAAATCTCACCGAAACCATCAATCTTCCAGACGAATGTTGTTGTGTCCAGCTCTTCTTTTGTTCTCTCAAGTTGTAATCTTGTCGCCTGAAGCTGACTCCTTGTTTCTACTAACTCAACTATTGTCTTCTGAAACTTTACGCATGCTAAATTCAAATGAAGGTTCATAGCAGTGTTAAGATGAGATTCCATGGCTTGTCTAGAAACCTAAAATAAAACGTTTTATTCATGGTCATCATTTATACCAAAGCGTCTAAGTCAAGACTTTCAGCAGTTCCTTTTTGAAGTGTCAGAATCGATGAATGAAAGAAATATTTTTTTGTCCCCGAAATAACGACCTCACAAAGTTCGATTAGATTACCTACTGATCATCAACTAAGGAACCAAGGCTCTTGGCGATCTTGCACTAGATGCAACTGTCACAGACACACCAGTTTATTTTGAAACGAGGTTTAAAATGAAAATCAACTTCACATTAATGTAAGACAGATGAAAGCGTGGTGAGAAACCCCTTTCTACTTATAGATTCGTAGCCTTAAGTATGAAATGAATTGTGAAAGTGCAGCTCTTAAGAGAGACGAATGCTTAGCAAATCATGGAGAATGATGAACTTCCTCAAGGCACGACCCTACATGTTTTCACATGTTCTGTAAATCCTCCTCGGATCCTTATTTCACAGGAGAAGACTTGAGGGTGCGGGCGTGGTGGGGACTTCATTGTTAGAGGGAGTGATATATGGAAAGATATATGCTTGATTATTTTGGAGCATCTACAGACCTTGAGTATTACACAAAGTGAGAAATCCAACCAGAAAAATCTTCTTAAATCGACCATCGACGAAATGGTATAAAAGGAACAAGATCTTAAGATCTCTCTTTCTCCAAGTTATCAAGCAAGAAAGACTCCGGCAAAGCTTTTTTTTCAATCCTTTCTAACTGATCTTCACTATCGTTTACTTACCGTAGCTTCACGGCCCATGCCTGCATACGGACAGGAGACTATAGTTAGCGGACATTCGTCTCTGACGTGAGTAAGAACCTGAATCGCATCAAATCGGTGTATTAGAACAAAACAAAAGAAGTAGAGATATTTAATTCCTTAACAGGAATGAGTATTCCGTGTTTCTTAATGTTATATGAGTTAGTATCCATGCTTCAAAATGTCACTGCGTGGCCACTTCGGGAAAAAAAGAAACAAAAAAAGAAGATATGGCTGCTTTATCATGAAAATATACTGCCTACTGGAAAACAATCTTCCAATTTTTTTTTTATAGGAATGATCATACAAGCATGAAAGCGAAAAAACGAGTAAAACCGATCTATCCATCTAGGCCTTGATTGGCCGTTTGAAGAACGAACGAGCCTAGCTACGTATACAAACAGTTGTTCATTTTTAAACAGTATGCCTTACCGTTCCCCTGGTGATCAAAAGACCACAGTAGTTATGAGTTATGATTAGTTACTAGATGATCCTGAAAATTAAAAACATCTCATGTAAGGAACTGGTAATCATGATTATGCTTACGCTTTAGAGTTATGTTTTTTAATTAACATACTCCAAATAACAGGTTTTTGCCTTTTTGTAATGTCGTACCCAGATCTTACCTTGCAACCACTTGGCCGTGGAAGGTCTGGGTACAAGGTGACCTTTTTTTTAAGAATACTTTCTAATTTTCAGGCGCACATGGTACATGAAACTCTAGTTTTATCATGGAAAAAAAAGTATCGATCTGCATCTAAAATGCCTTAGTCCACTAGGTGCATATTAAAGAGCTACAGCCTTACCTTGTGTATTAAATGAGAAAGGATTAAATGATGGAAGTGTCCTTAGGCATTGATCTAAATGAGTATTCGCTTTTACCTCCCTATTCTTAAGCTCTCCAATCCATTCACGGCCCTCACTTGGACATCTGATTGCCATAGAGAGGATCTTCCCTTCTGTTGCTGTATCAGGAAATACGTCCTAAGACATAAACACAATAGCCCTGGTTTTACGTTAATGCTCAGCGAATGAGCCAGGTTCTTTAAAAGTTTCATGTACAATCAAAGAAAAGGTGAGTCTATAATAGATTGAATTAGTGAATGATATTTCTCTTAATTCTAAAAGAGCGTACGAAGACGAGTGTCTAAATTATTTAAGGTATTTGAAAGCATATAAAAAATAGATACAACAGATTCAGACTTAGTAAACAAGATTTTTTTGATATTTTCCAACCTTCATCAGAATTTTATGAGCACTCAGGTAAGTAAATCACCTATTAAGTTTCCTGTCTTCTGAATAAGTTATATAATTAGAGACTGTTCTTGAATTTGCTGTCTGAGAGAAAGTTCAACCATCAAGAATAATGCAATGGATTATTAAGGATCTTCCATATATTTCGGTTTTGCTTATACTGCAAATATTTTCACAT